TTTTATGACCCCACGTAATGATGAATGGTCGTTATAGATGAAGCATTGTCTACACACTGATCGGTTGACCCTGCCACTTCCAGTGCGTGAATTAAGGCAAGGTGATGTACTGACTAATTACTCTTAGAGACGTTTCGCTAAGATCTATACGATACAAGACGTGGATCGCCCTTTCTGTGTCTTATCTACAAATAGTCGATTTAGTTATTAACGACATCATGCACAAAATGGGAAAGATGACTGCAATCCGATTTCACTGTACCAGCACTTTCATTCAGTCTTGAATGTGATCTGCACAGGAACGATGATACTGAGCTACATAAGATTACAAAAAGAAAGAAATTTACTGATATATGTACAAATGCTTCAAAGTTATCCAAAAAGTGGTGCTTCACGCAAGCCTCTTTTCCGATTTTTTTGTCCCCTTCCCAAAATTAAGGCAAATATTAGTCGATACTCTCCTCAATTTAATCGAATGAAGATGTACGCCGTACTTAACAACGATACATAGGAGAAGTTCAATTGAAAGGTGTAAATACTTAAGTTCTTAAGGTTGGCCTGCGACATATTAAGACGCATAGGTGTAAAACAATCTTTCGGATACATCGTTTGTAAAATTTACAAATCGTCTTCTGCTCATAGCTAGAAAAATAGCATCGTCGATACAACGTAGATCACAATATTGCAACCTTTCAATCGTTGTGATACATTGTTGATGTAGGTGGATTATGCATCAAAAGCCTTTGTGCTGTATTTAAGCATTCTTATAGCATACTACACGTGCTGGTTTGTACGCTAAACACGGTAATTGATGTCATTAAACCGTCTGATAGAACATAAAGTAGACTACGAACGACAAGGTGGTACTATCGACACACAGTCTATGATCGCTCCCTTTCTCGTTCCAAGAGTATAGTACAGTGGTGCTGCATCATTCGTCGGTATATACGCGCGAGTGTAATACCATATTTCTGCACAGTCGGAGGCAAGAAAGGGTAAAGAGCTATTTAGATTCGTCTATTTCTGCATACAACCCGCTAATAATTGGGTAGAAAAAACTTGTCTGGATCGATAGGATCCGCTCACATCATGTCGATCACCATTTCTACAGCTTATCATATTCGATTTTGGGTCGGTTTAGCGGCTCATTTCGCCGCCACTAAACAACATACACGGTAAGGGATCACGTAAAAATACCTGTTTCAACCAAATGAGCATTGATGGCCATCTTGAAGCAACACACTTGATTAAATAATGCAACTTCTTTTTGGTTTTCTCATCATGACCCTCTCTTTCACTGATTATCTTCGACAAGCCGTACTTGTTCGCTAAAAACTGTATTCTCGACTAAATATCGCTGACGACCTCAGTCTCTACCGTGCGTACGTGAATCTACTTCAATAGGCTACTACGCATATCTCGCGAGATGCACTGAGTTGTGGCTTAATCGAATAATATGTCGCTAAAATACCTACGTAGGTGCATGTGTGTCAGGTGCTTAAGCTCCTACACTTGATCGGTCATTCACCAATCCTCTTTATGTCTCGATGTCTTCTTGGGGTTTTATCTCTTAATTTTTCCGTGCAGACTCTTCCATTGATTTGCTTTGGCTTTCAGTGCATGGCAACAGAGGTTTCTGTACCATATAACGCTGCGAGCAATCCATAATGACCTCTTTGCCACTGCGAGGCAGACGGATTATTCAATTCTTCTTCTCCGACTGTAAATGCTAATATCTTTAAAGGATCTATTGCCCCGGCTCCTTGACCGTTTCTGGAAATAGGTCTCCGGTGCTGCCTCGGCAATATTTACATAGCCCGAAACTCTTAATACGGTGCTGATGTGTAAGACATGGGTTCTTGTGAAGCTATGCTATGTCCGCTCAACCGATGAGATGATCGCACTCTCTCGTGGAACGTCCGCACGTTGGCAAGAACAACTAGGCGCTCGTTGGATGCCGATCGAATAAAAGATGAGGAATGCATTTGTACGACCGACGTTGAAAGACGACCAATAAAAGCTCGTATATTTCAATCATAGTTATCCGAGGATGCCATCAAACTGGCGATCAAGGTACAGGGAGATAAACGGCCATCCTGTGTGTTGTGCGTTGGGGTTATCTACTTCATGTCCTTACGGATTTGCATATCATTTGTAGCAATGCTGTCGAACGCTTTCGCTAGCATAAATGGTGAATTCGCAAACATGAAACTACCATCCTCTGGCTAGCGTCTTCCGGCACATTGCACAGTTACTAGGTACGGAATTGTCTGTCTTGTTCCCTTTGATGTTCAAGGTAGCTAGAGACAACCCAATATCAGAGGAACTAGGACTGATACAATGTGTGGTGGGAACAACCTTTGTCAAAACGCAATGTATCATGAAGTTTTGGGATCAGTAGGTTGCGTCATTCCTGCTGACCCTAAACGATTTGTTTGACGTTCCTGTACTCTCTCACGACTTGCAGAAACGTCTGTATTGGACTCTTGTACATTATTGACTTAAGTTCAGTAGTTCTTTCGATCGTTAAGATTCGCTAGGTGGACAGTAGCACACTCATTGGCGTAGTGACCTCACTCTAGCAGATATTGCGTAGTTGCGATAGCTCAAAACCATGAGAGCGATATTGTTTAAGCAATAAAAAAGGAGGTTCTAAATGATTTCGATATTTGCTTCGTCGTCTAGATACACAATCAGACGCCGATACCGATGCGACCTGTGTCAAGAAAAACTACGCATATCGCGCCATGTGGATCAATAGAGCAATCTTGTCGAATATGAAGTATTGAAATGGGTCTATACCGAATCATTCGCATTAACTGTGGTGAGCACAATTACCTGTTTCAGTAGATAGAGTAGACGCCATACGATATTGCGTACAAAGTTTCTTGTTTACTGAGCGTGATTATATTGTTTAGTTTCCCTGGTTCAATTCCAAGAGCGCCGATCAATTATTTTATGCAATACTGGCGACGCTGACGCCGAGACGTACTTCGATTTTTCAAACAACCACGCACGGTATACTACTCATCCCCCTTTATATCGATTCATCTTCACTGATTTGAGTTTCTATGGCGTTGACGAGTGCTACGGCCAATCGCAGCGAATAGTACTTTCCAACCGTTTGTGCTTGGGGATGTTATTCTTCAAGTTTTCGGTTCGGCGCACACGTGTAGTCGACCCAACAGTAGTGTTATCAGCTTGCAGTTTCCACAGCCGTATAAGATGCTGAACATCCTAGTCCCTCAACAGCACGAAGTGCTTTGTCCTTTGCTGAGTAAGCAACGTGTCCAGTTTTTCTTTATAGCCGCGTCAGTTTGTAAGGTACGACCGCATCGATCAAGGTGTCTCTTGCCATTAATTTATTTCTTGAAACAAGCTGCTAAAGAATGGTCTTTTAAAGCTTAATTATAACCTTAGGACATATGCCATATGAGGTACCTCGTGAAGGAAAACCCGGAAACCGGGGCGTAGGATTGAACATCACCCACAGGACCTATAGTGGATTAGTGCGTGTCTATCTATGGACCATGACGCGGTACCGAATATAAGGCTTTCACCATCGCCTATACTTCTGACATTGTAAGCTTTTTATGCTTAAGACTGTGTCCAGATAGATTTCTGTATCTCATCACCACTAACGGGTGTAGAGATAGCTGAATTAGGATATTACAGCTGAGCTAAAAGTAAAGTTAGGAACGTATAAGAATAAATGAAGTTCTTAAAAAAAGTGGGATCAAAACGTTCCTGCAGTATTTGTAGTAACAATAATCAAAGTAGGCACCTTGCTCTACTCTCATTGAGCGTATTCAGAGTACATTTCTGGATCAATGGCTGACACCATATTCTGTATAGGCCAATTAGTAGTTAGCAGTGCGTTGCCGATTACGCTGGATACCACATCGTAGTTTCTACACATGAACACAATTGCAAAGATAATAGTATCGCTGACTTTTTCGTCAAAAGCGTTATGTGATATATTCACCCTGCTTCTGACATCATTTCGGAAACACGTGGGCCACTTTGCCCTAGGCGAAATACAGGTAAAAATAATTGATAGATACATAAACAAAAGATGGGTGATAGATGCGTCTAAACACAAAGAGATAAAGAGCATGGGTGTATTTGCAGGGTCATATTGTATCTATGTAGCTATTTTCAGTGTGTGCGACCTACAAACAATCAGGCGGTCAAAAGTTTTACAATGTATCATTTTTCTTTTTTTCATCCAACATGTATATTCTATGGCTTCTAAAATATGTTTTCCATCTATTTTAGGGTCTATGTTTCGGAACGGGCTCACTCCGTTCCAAATCATTCCAGATGCCTAGAGCCTGGCAGGCAAAATAGGCGTGTCGCCAGGCGACATTTTATAATTTAAAGAATAAAAATCAGCGGGCAGTTGACCGTCTAAACCTTGCAGATGCACAACTTCCACGGACCAGGTCTTCCCGTCAATGAGGAAAAATATTGAAGCAGAATCCATCGTGTGAACTTCTATCATTCGGCTAAGATACAACAACATACACGCTGTATGAGTTCGTGCAGGAAAGCTATTAGGCCTACTTCTCCGCGACCACATCTGCAGGAATAGAAGCAAATTTCAGGGAAGGGCTTTGGCTCGAAATCAGAAGTGGGAAACGGAAACGCTCTGCGGCAAGAAAAAGTCATGGCCAGCTTTCCTCACTCTGCAATCTTCAGGCACCGAGCTGCACGTTGCAATGCGCAGACTTCGTCGTGCGCTTGCGGCTTTCGGCACCCTTCTCATAGGCTTGCAAGCTAACGGTAAGCCAAACAATTCCTCAGCTCGTTTTAACACCCTAACAGGCCTCAACGATACCACGCACGATCACATACTCGCGCATCATTCTGGATCGTTCGGGGCGGGCACGGTCCCATACGTTACTGGTCTTTCAAAGACGAATGATTCAACGGGAGAAGCGGCTTATGTTGAGGATCATTGGAGGGAGGAGCGGATGACTGAGAAGCTTGCTGAGATTATGGAATCGGTCGTTCGTGCAATAGGGCACGGTGTTTCGACTATTACTGAAGGCGCCGTCCATAGCAACAGTCTGATCGATATCGCGACCGCTGTCGAAGGCGCAGTCCATAGCGAGAGTCCGATGAACATTGCAGCCACTCACGAAGGCGTCGTGCACAGCGAGAGTCCGATGGACATTAAGACTACCACTGAAGGCGCGGTCCACAGCGAGAGTCCGAAGAACCTTGCGACCATACTTGCAGACGACCCGCTTGGCGGGAAACCTATGGACATTGCGACACAACCTTATCATGGAGTCATTATGCGCCCAGCGGCTCTTGATCGTACCGAGATATTTTGGGACATTGCCAGAAGCGAGGGATTCACAGACGCGTCGGCGCTCAGAGATGTGCTACAGCGTTATGGATTTCGTCCGCCATCGAAAACACGATACGCTCAGATCATGGCAAGCGAAGTAGTCGATACGAACGGTAAAGCAGCCGATGCGAAGCGCAAAGTGGTCGACGCGAAAGGTAAAGCAGCCGACGTGACACGCAAAGCATTCGGCGCGACTGGTAAAGCGATTGACGCGCCAGGCAAAGCGGTCGACACGACAGGCAGGGTATTCGACAAGACTGGCAAAGCAGCTGACTATACGGGCAAAGCAGTTGACAATACGGGCAAAGTGGGTGACGAGACAGGCAAAGCAGTCGACTCAACAGGAGAAGCGATTGATGCCATGCTACTGGTGAATAACCCGGCCGATGTGATGCGGGCGCTGGTGTCGCTTCACATGTTTGAAGATATGAAAGATGAAGCCAGCGTGCTGACAAGAGAATTACTATCACGCTTCATGAGACGTCCGATAGTGTTTTCTTGCATGTGGATGGCGTCAGGATTGAGACCTGAAGCGGTTTTCAGAGCCTTCGGCTTTGATTGGAACAAGTTGGACCGCATATCGCTGATATTTTTGGACGAATTGATGGAGTATATAGGTCTGTTCAAGGAAGTGCACCCGAGTACCTCCAGCGCTGATGACACGGCGAAACTATTGTTTGATTTTAAAGATGCGAAAGGACTGGATGCTCATCTCAAGGAGATTGCCGATCAACCTGGACATGACGCCCTCGCTAGTTCGCTACATGATCTTTACCTCGAGGTTGAAGACTTCAACCCTCGCGCGAAAAGGGAGTATTACGGGCCTGCCATCAGAAGACATTTATCACATGAATCTACTCTCGTCGATGACGACAAATTCTGGAGTTTTGCCGGACTGAAAGGACCAATAGACGTGAAGGCACTGAAAAAGTACTTGGATCATAACGCAGCCAATGGTCAAAAGCGCATTAGCGAACGTGAGATCATCAAAGCTTTGTTGTTGACTACAGGTCCGACCGATGTGGTGCAGGCACTGTTATCGCTTCATGCCTCGAACCTAGGAAAACAGGATGCAATCGAGTTGTCGAAAAAACTGGTTTTACACTACTATCGAGAACCAGGAGTAACATCCCGCCTGTGGATGGAGCTGGGATTGGACCCCAAAAACATATACGACATTCTCTCGTTTCGCTCTGCAAAGATACATGAAATACTTCCGCGCCACGTGTATGAGTGGTTCACGTACATTGAGCTGTACAGAGCGGCGCACCCGAAGTCGGCTTTAGGCCCCGAAGAGGCAGCAAACCTTTTGGTTCGGAACGATGGAACAAAAGGACTGGGCGCGTGGGTTACGCGCTTAAAAAAGTATCGTACGTACACGGATGTTGCTAACACGCTAAGCAATATTTACGAAAAAAGACGGACAAAGGAGGCTAACACGCTTCTTGCGAACACGGGGACGTAGAGTTATGCCAAGCTAAACTGGTGAGACTTAGCACGTGTTTTATGTATTAACTTGGTCGTCAATTCGACGGTAGGCTTAGATTTAGCATTAGTTTAATGTGAACTAAGGACCTAGAAAACTTAATTGTGCATTTTGTAATTTACTCCCCCCAAACGTATCTGAATTGACTAAAAACTCAGACGACCGCATCGGTTATATCCACATTTGTAGCATACTTAGCAACTAAACCAATGGATGTGCGTACTAATCTAACCATGAAAACACATGCGATCCAGCATGGCGCGTACAACTTAACACTTTTCGACAGAAATCACGCAACCTGATGGAAGCCATATGACGTCCAAACAGAATGATAGCCGTGTACATTGTTAGAATTTTGTAACATTCTTGGCTAAATCACGAGAGAGATAGTCTAAAACGCCGCTTCTGAGATCAGAATTGACGCGGGCAGGCATGCGTTTAATAAGTTGCTTGGATGTATATAGACTAGTGTTTGCCATGCGACAAACTTTCCCGAATCATTGACAAATAAGACATGTTTTTCGCGTTCGTTTTAGCGATGACCACCTCATGGTTCGCAGCGTTTACGCTCGTGGGAAACAAAATGGTGCCCATGCAACACCACCGAACAAGCCAAAAACGTAAATCATGGCCGATTTTTTGACATGGTGCTGTTTTCGCTCTTCTGTGACTAGTACTGCGTGGCCATACTGTAGCGAGCCTACACAGCTCCTTCAGTCAGAGGAGGACTTAACGCTCAATGAGCAACTTTGGTTCTACGAACCCGACTCAACGAGTCAACAGCTCCGAGAGCTAAGGTTTAGTTCAAAGAATTCGATTCAAAGAGTCAACAAGCTCAGAGAGCTTACGGTACCTGTTCCAGGGGGACCAAACGATTAAAAGAATCAAACGCATTAATTGCACAAGGAGTATCTGCCTTAAAAAAGCGTTGCTACTTTCTTTCGATCGCAAGACGCCTCAGAGAGGCACGTGTCTTTTGTTGATCAAAATGTGAAATGAATTTTATTTCTTCTTGTAACCCAAAGAACACCGTAGAACAAAGTAAATAACCTACTAACTTATGTCCTAAATAAACCTATCAAAAGATCTCGTAACCAATGGTTCACAGACATCAGTCTTCAACAATTGATACTGTGTTCTAATATTACTTCAAAAGGGATCCCATCCCTTGTGTGCATTACACTTATTGTCGACTACCAGTCGACGTGTAACCCCGTTACACCCACCCCCACCAGACTGACGTTTCCACAAAACGTCAATCGAATTCGTCCTCGAAGAGGACGGTGTGTGTGTGCTTCAACTTTACGGTCGGTAAAACACAAAACACCATGGCATCGCCACCACATAAGTCCTCGACTCTCACGTTATACCTCGGCATCGTTGTGGATGTGGATTATGGTAGCGATACCGAAGTCCATGGTGACGAGAGGACAATGTCCGACTCTCCAGGGCAAGAGGCACCGCCTCATACTGCACCGAACCCATTTGCTAAGTGTGGCGAAGCCAACGCACCATCGGCGCCGCATCAAACACCCATCGTGGGCGATGCCATCAACACCAATCAGCTCGATAAGCAACAACAGGTGGCTATGCAGCGAGAATAGAGCGCTCAGCGCCGTATGCAGCTTTCTGCACCCTTGAGGGTCGTCGTGGCTATCTGTTCACACACCTCAAAGTGGAAGAGCGAATACGCCGAACGACAGGTCGTTCTTTGGAAACGTAGGTCATTGACCGTGTGCCAACTTCTTCTGATGAGGTAGCGAGTCGACAGGTACTTCGCGAGAGGTAACTGCAACCTCACTTGACGACTCAAAGTCAATACAAGTTGCGACTTGACACGCAAGCACGGGGTGCACCGGTTCCACCGATGAGGGGTATACCCATCCTCTTATTCGCAGGCGAATCTCAGGAGGAAGAAGACAACGCTTTCGTTCGCTGGGTGCATCGAAAACGACACCTCAGCAGCGTGTTAGCTCTCAGAGCAAGTGCCGATGTGGCAGATGTTCGTCTAGAGCAGAAACTTCGGTATGATTATGCCAAGCTTAAGGCCAGAGGCCAGTTGCAAACTCTCCCACGCTATGCTCCGGCTGTGCCGATTGATGTCAAAGTTGGTCAAGCGGTACTGAAATATCCACCTGCTTCCACCACTATTGGTGAGAAGCGCTCTCCGTCGAGGGATGACCCCTGCCACGATGTTCAAAAACATCAACGGCTTATGGGCAATCCTGCCGAAGGGGTGTCTCAAACTCCCACGAGTTCTCCGACTCCGGGTACCCTCGCCACTTCACCAGATACTGGTGTTGACTCTGACGACGACGTCATTTCAGGAGTCGCTCCACATGGAACTGTCGGTTCCCTTGCTCATCGAGCAGCGTCGGAGGTGGTCGGTATACCGAAGGAGGAGAATGAGAAGAAGCTTCTCGAGCTGAGCGGTCTCCGTAAAGAATTGTGTAAGGCCCAAAGTGCGTTTGACGCGATGCGAGCCCGTTTCCAGGTGGTGGAGTTGGGCCAAGCCCGGATGGAGGCTCAGCTTGACCTCCTGATATGGATTCAGCAACCGATGGCAAGGCCAACCTACCCAGCGCAAGCGCCTCCAAGTTCGCGTGGGAAGGATCCCGATACCGATTAAGCAAACCAACGTAGAACACGGGATGTGTGAGCAGTTTGCGCGGAAGGTTGAGCGTATACGCGAGTCCCATCTTGGCTACGGCCGTGAATCGTCCAATGAAGCGCGGGCGCAACTTTGTCATAAAGACAGCAGACACTACGTTTGTAGGTAGGTTTTTAGCATTGAGTAGAACTTAGCCTATGAACTCATAACGTCTAATGCAACCTCTGCCTTTAGCATCGGCATGTTTCTTCTGCTTGTCTTGGCTATCAGCCAGTGCGTCACGCACATGTCGTAAGACATTTAAACGCGTTAAGAGAAACTGTCTTACCTGTTTTTGAACCGTAGAAGAGCTGACATCAACAAGTCGATCAGCAACGCCTCCCCCACCAAGCCCTGAACCACGCAGTGGTAGCGTTAACAAACAGCGAGGGTGTGTGAGAACATTCACATAAAATGGTGTGTAGCCGGTGGAGGCATGCACGGCGTTATTCAACGCAAACTCAACGACAGGGAACATCGAACTCCAACGCTAAGGCGTTTCAGCGCAAACACTGCGCAAGATGTCACCGATGATGGAGTTCACTCGCTCGGCTTGACCATCAGTCTGCGGATGATCCGCTGTGAGCATGTCCAAACGGGTGCCGAGCACCTTAATAATGAATATCCAAAACTTCCGAGTGAAGCGAGGATCTCTATCAGAGACAATTACCAACGGCAAAACGTGTTGTCGAAACACGCGATCGATAAACAGAGTAGCTGTACCTTCACCATCAATGGTATCCGGCACCGCCGCTAACTGAGCCATCTTGCTCAAACGGTCAACCAATACCACAATACCCGTATTGCCATACGAATCTTTCGGTAGACCGAAAATGAAATCTATGCCGATGGACTCCCAACACCCCTTGGGTACAGGTAAACTAGCCAGCGGCGCGGCCGCGTGAGGTGAGGGTTTCACCCGTTGACACGTTTTACACGTCCGTACATATGTGCTCACCCATTTGTATAGTTTGGGACATCAATAGCATTGGCTAACTCAGCCATACGTCTTCTCACAACCGATATGATCACTCAACGCAGTAGGATGTGCCTTAATAGAGGATTCGATACTTCAACTTCTCATCATAAAGGGACAAAAATGCAAGGGGTATCCTCCACATTCTTGCTATAGCACAACAGTCCCTGATAGATGGAATATCGATGTAGCCTCGCACGTAATCGTGCCGAAAATTCTATGTCTGAGTCCTTGAACTCCTCGCTCCATAGAGTACGTAGCAGAGCTACACAGTGTTCTTCCTTGGCATAAGATATACGGATTAGGTCAGTGACCGACGACGACAGAGTCGTAACATGAGTAAGCTCATAGTCAGGCCTGCGTGACAACGCATCAGCCAAAGCATTCTGCTTGTCCGGCTTATAATTCACCTCGAAGTTGTACTAGGCAAATAATGAAAGCCAACCAGAAATTCTCTGAGAAGGTTGAGGCGACTGAGTCGCAGTGCGTAGTGACGCATGATCTGTATAGATCACAAACGGCTTATAGTCAAGAAGATGAACTCCGAATTTGACGAGAGCATACTTCATTGCAAGTAGCTCTTTGTCATGAACTGTATAGTTCTTTTCTGCAGCCTTCAGCTGACGGGACTCAAACGCAATGACACGCTCCCGTCCATCGGAATCTGTACGTAACAGGGCGCTTCCTATGGCAAAGTCAGATGCGCCACATACGACACTGAAAGATCGATCAGGATCAGGCAGAGCCAGGATTGGAGCATGAAAGAGACTCTCCTTTACTGCTTGAAAAGCATCATGCTCGGTGCTAGTCCAGCACCATTCCATATCCTTTTTAACGAGATTCGATGATGCCCGAGCCATATCTGCGTAATCCGCACTGTACTTGTGCAAGTAACTGGCACGGCCGAGCCAATTTCGTAAGTCCTTTTGGTTCTTTGGAACCGGCCATCAACTATGGCTTTTAATTTAGCGGGATCCGCTCCAAGACTTCGATTACCAATAAAGCACCCTAAGAAAGAATCCCTTCTGCACCAAAGATGCACTTAGACGCGTTCGCGTATAACTTATTCGTGCGCATGCACTCGAGCACTGCTCGCAAATGGTCAATGTGATTGTCCACATCTAACCGACCATTCATAGCACGAGTATGGACAAAGATGTCATCAAAGTACGTCTGTGCATATCCTCGGTGAGGTTTGAACAATTTTGTCACAAAACCATTGAATTAAGCCGGGGCGTTTGATAACCCTTGCAGCATGACAAGCCACTTCCTGACCTTACCGCTCGGAGTGCTGACCGCTGTCAGCGGAATGTCGCTTTCTCGCATGGGCAGCTGGTAAGAACCATCGAATAG